TGGCCAGGAGCCCCCCGCGCCAGGGCGCAGCGCAGGGAGGAGCGAGCAGGGCTGGGCTCCGGAATCCAGCACGAAATCGCTGGAACCGGGGAAGAAAGACTGGGAACAGAGACGGAGTAGGGGGTGGGGAGGAGGTGACAGTGGGAACGAGAATAAATAGAAAACCGAACACTATTCAGAGACGCAAAGGAAGAGCAAAGTGACAGGAAAACAAGAGAAGAAAAGAGCGTAAAAGAAATGAAGAATATGAGCTTGGAAAGGAATTGTCAGACAGTAAGAAGGTGGAAAAGGAAAAGTATAAACACATATAACATGGGACAGACATGGGAAAGAATGAATGGAGGGGAAAGAAGAAAAGAATGAGAAGGAGCCAGGGGGTGGGACTGGAGATGAGAATGGGAAGTCAGAGACAAGAATGTGGGAGCGGGAGAGAGAAGCTGGCCTGGATCCCTGGGTCCCTGGGTCCCTGGGTCCCTGGGTCCCTGGGTCCCTGGGTCCCTGGGTCCCAGTCCCCCTGCCAGTCCCTGCCTGTCCTGGGAAATTCCGTACCCAGAGCCCGGTGCCCGGGAGAGCTGGCATTGGCCCCCAACAGCCTGACCCCAGCCCAGCCCGGCGGGCTTCTTCCCCTCCAGGCTGCCGGAGGGGCATCCCTCCCCCAAACCCAGAGTGAGCAGGGGGCTCCCTGCACCCCAAGCCTGCCCCTCCCTCAAGCCTTCAATCCCAAGTTGGAGGCACTGGGGGTTCCGGCGTGCCGCCGGGAAGTTTCTGTCTGTGCTGACTCCACAGACAGGGTCAAACAGCGTGAAAGAAATCCGAGGGCGCCGTGGCAGGAGCCGGACTTCTAAACCCCTTCCGCCCCCGTAGGCTTCAATATTAAACCCCCAGGAGCCGCAGACACTGTATTAATTAGTGCAACCACCCGTGAAAAGTTGGGTTTGGAGCGGCATTCTTTGCCCTGTGTGAAAAACCGAGTCTAAGAAACAATTGTTCGCTTGGCCTGTTGCCGCTGGTAAATTACATAGCATTAAAAAAATAATGCTTTTCATATTAGGCACTAATTAAAGGTTGGGGCAGCTTTAAAACAAGAGAGGGAGGGGGGAAATCAAAGAAAATATAAAAATGTTCTTTCAAGAGTTATGGGAGGTTAATAAAGTGTGTCTGTTGGAGGGAGCCTACTTTGCCCCCAGCTACAGCCAGGCTGGAGCCACCGCAATTGGGTCTCAATAAGATAATGATATTCCTTTCTCTGCTATTAAAAGCCTCCCAGTGCAAACTTAAAATGATTTATTTAATTTAGGAAATTATGAGGTGTAACTTCAAAGCCCGAGCCGTTAGTAATGGAAAATACCAGGTTGTTTAAAATTATAATAATAATTGTTTGGGACATCAAAGTGTTTTCATCAACAAATGCAGAGGGTCCGGAGGAGGGCGGAGGGAGGCGGAGGAGGTGGATGGAGTTTGGATTTGATTATTAGGAGCCTTATCGGGGCTGGGTTCAGGATCCCCGCAGCCCGTGCCCTGGGTCTGCTTTGAAGCGGGGCTATTTTGGAAAGTAATTTTCCTGCTTTT